TTTAGGGTCCCCGATTAATCGCCGATTAATCCCCGCCGAGTCTGATTAATCGTTTATCGCCAGTCGACCGCCGACCTACCGCCGAACGATTTTTACAACCTTGATCTTTATATTTTAATGCTAAGATCTTATATTCATGGAGTTATGGGATATGTCCCGTATATTGCTTTTTATTTGTTGTGCCTTGGTATTGCCTTATAGGTATGGTTATCTTTTGTCAGTTTATGAATTGGATTCTGATCTACCGGGTCGGCATGGGCTTCTTGTTAGCTAGGCCAATGTCTTGGGTTGTTCTTATTCTGATCTGTTGGATATACGCTGATGACGAACTTAGTTGGTTGACCGGCTAGGTACGCCATTAGCCACCATGCCACATCATCTTTTTGGCATCCATCTCATTGTCACATCGTTTTTTCACACAGCATATATCATATCATTTTGGTGGGGCGAGTGAAAATTTTAAAAATAAAAATAAAAAAATAACCGTTACACTCACATTCCAATTCTCTCTCTTCAACAATGAAATGTCGTGGAACCCCTTTTGACTCGGTATGCCGGAAGACAATGTTCTCAAGATTGCCTAGCAAATGCCGACTTCACTCCGTCGAGTCTAATATTTTTCTGAACGTCAAATCTAATCTACTCTAAACTACTTATCAATTCTACCATGTCCACGGCTGAATTATAACCCCCGATCTCAAAAAGAAAAGACAACACCCATAACGATCCGTCGAATCTAATATAAGAGATAATATCAAAGGCCAAAAGGTCCAAAAAAAAAAAAAAAAAAAAGCGCCTAATATAAAACTGAAAAGATTATAATTATATTGGCTAAAAACAATATTTATGGTTTACCAAAGTCTTTGTATCATCCAAAATGAAAACGAAAAGAGAAAGACAACAGTGACACGAGCTACAAGGATCTAGCACGTGTATCCGCAGACCCGAAGAGCAAGCAGAGTACGGCAACGATGGCAACGGCGACGGAGCTATGTTTCCTCCCAAACTACCACCGTCGTTTTATGAGTCCACCGTCATCTTCACCAAAATCATGGCGCTCTTCTCCGGTGAAGTTAGCGATCAAAAACCAAATCCAAACTCAGAAGAAGCGACGTCCGGAGAACGTTGATGGAGAGTTCTTCGTTGGTTTGTGATTTCCTCCTTTCTCAATACCAAAAACCTGCAGTTAATCTGATTATTCTGAACTAAAAACAATATCTTTGTTTGCAATTTTATCAATACGAAGCATTAGCCTCTGTTTAATACTATAATTTGGGTTAAATGCAAACTTCCAGTTTTTTCGATCTTATTATGCTGTGATTGATGGCTCCCCTTTTCACAAATTTCTTCTTGTTTTGATAAAGCCATTGATGCTATTGGGTTCGAGTTAAATTCTTCCATTTGTTTACTCTGGAGGGTTATGAAACTAAACTAATCTTCAAGTGCTTATTTTTCAGAAATGCAATTAAATTAGTCTAATAATCCATTATTGCATCTTTTTGTCCTAAAATGAAAGCACTCGATATACAGATTTGACATGATTATATAAGCAAATCCAAGATCCACCATTTTTTTTACTTTGATGTTTAAAACATTGCTAAGATTTTAAAAAAGAGCGATAACTAATTTGATACTTTCTCAAATTTGCAGATCATACATGCATTGATTGTGATACATGTCGTTGGATGGCTCCAGTAAGAATCAGAAATTTCAATAGGGTTGTTAATAACATAAATGGGTAACAAACTATTTATTTTTTTATAAAAAAGAAAACAACTGTTTTAAAAAAGTATCAAAAAGTATCACTAGAAGATAAGCAAGTGGAACGTTTTGTTCACAAAATACCATAAAAAGTAAGTGGAATTTGTAAACACAAAGTTCGAGTTACTTACATAGTTACCTTCTGGGCTTCTGATAGTACTTTTTTAAAACAATGGTGTTTTGTTAAAAAAAAAAAAAGTTTGTTATCTATTTATGACATTAACCCATTTTCAATATGGGTGTTACATATATTGTTTTCTAATTTTTTTTTAATAAAATAGATGATTACTGATTTGATATTTTCAGGAAGTATTCACCCGTGTTGATGGGATGTCTGCTGTTTCAAAGCAGCCAAGTTGTCAAGATGAACGCCTTAAGGCTCTTCAGGTATTAATATTATGTCAAAAGTGATATATAGTTTATGAAGATTTAAGCATTTACAATAATTGTTACAAATTACTTTTATTATTGTTTTATTTTCAGGCATTACTTTCATGTCCAACAAGCTCAATATCTACTGAAAAACCCGCTCATGATATTTTAGAAGTTCAAAAAACGTTTCCAATACCCATTGACATGGAGAGAATTCCAGTAATTTAACTGCTATAATAATTGTGTAACGTTTTCAAAGTGTAAATGTGTAATGTCTTATTATGAAAACAATTATATGTATATAATCCTATAAGATGTTCATCTTCAGGGGGTGTATCATTGTGGTTATCACTCTGATAAAACATATGGAGCAACATCCTATTTCATTGTTCACCCGCAAGGGAACATTCTTATCGACAGGTATTCTATTTCTAACCATTAACTTCTTATAATTCATAGGATACAAAAATTACAATTTTTTATCCTTTAGGGAAAAAGACGTGAATGCCCTCATCCTTCTGAGAGTAGCCTTTGAAAGCTTGTCCAGTCCAGTCCCATATAACACACGCAACATTATAAAACAAGTTCATAGAGATTATGGAAATAAGGAATCTTTATTTCCATGCAATATTTGCACAAAGCAATTAATTTTTTTATTTTTATTTTTAATATTTTTCAGTCCTAGATACACAGAAAGGCTTGCTGAAAACATTGAAAAATTGGGTGGAGCTCAATATATGTTTCTCACTCACAAGTATGATATTTTTGATTTTTGAGTAACTGTAATATTATTATAAACTATTTATTGATTTTTCTTCTTAAATTAGGGATGATGTGGCAGATCACAAGAAGTGGTCGGAGAGATTCGGTTGTAAAAGAATTCTCCACTCCAAAGAAGTATGATATTTTTGCTATTTTATTTCTGTCTTATGTCAGCCATCTAGTGGACCACAGTGTACCTGATTTAATTCAGTACAGTATGGGCCAACTTAGGAGTTGTCAGAAGAATAACCTTTCGAAGAAACATATATACGTGTTTTTGAATTATTATTAGGGTGTTAATTTTTCAATAGATAAATTTTTAAGTTTTGATGCATTTAAGGTAAATGTCTCGACAAGAGATGTTGAGATGAAGCTGGATGGATGTGGGCCATGGAGTCTTAATGATGACATTCAACTTATACACACACCAGGACACACAGAAGTGAGTAGACAATTGGTTTTTTGCTTATTACAACTTTAAACAGTAGAATCATTTACAAACATTACCTTGTGCAACACGTTTTATTATATTTGATTATATGATTATAATTATTTCGTATTAAATAATCACTTTCAGAACACACATCTCTTTTGTAAAAAGTTGATAATTTATATGGGCAGGGGTCAGTCAGCTTGTTTTACAAGCCCTTAAAGGTGCTTTTCACAGGAGATCATTTGGCAATTGGTGAAACTGAGCTAGCAATTTCTGAGATATATAATTTTTATTCAGGTATACCACATTTGATCTCTATAATTTTGACATAGTAAAATTTAGTGTTATATTATTCATTTACACCAAAATTATGTCAAATATTCATGTCATTTTGGTGTAGTAATTGGTATTAATGGTGTTATGGGTTGCAGATGTCTAAAGAAGAAAGCTTATAACTTAAAATAAAAGGGTTAATTACATAAAAGACCCTATATATTGGGGCAATTTTTTGCGGATTAAACATTTACTTTTATTTTTTTTAAATCCCTTACATTTTTTCATTATTTCGGTTTGATCTTTTTAGCATGTTTATCGGTAATCTTCTGATTTTTATATGAAGATGTAAATGTTTTTTTTTAGAAAAAAGAAAATAAAGTTGAGGTTTAATCCGAAAAAATGGAAAAATGTAAGGCCAAATCGAAAAAATGTAAAACTATGAGGGCCAAATCGAAAAAAGATGAAAAAATTAAAAGGCTTTTTAGAAGAAAAAAAAAGTTTGAAATTTAATCCGAAAAAAAAAAACCCAAGACAGTGTCTTTTATATAATTAACCCAAAATAAAAGACCAAGTTATAACGTTAAATAAGAGTAAACTATAATTTTCGTCCCTCTTGTTTATTGAAAGTTGTGAATTTTGCCCCTTCTTTCAATTTTTTAAAGTTTTTCGTCCCTTAAAAACTATTTTCCTTTTCGTCCCTGTAATTAAAACTGTCATTTTTTTTCCTACCTAATATAAAAATGAACATTAATAAGCAAGTTCACACTTCATAAAGATACAACATTGTTTGGAGAAGTAATCATTAAAATATAAAACTTGTATGCCATATTTTATTTCCAATTTTCAGTGGCTATACAGTTGGATAGTGTTGCTATGTTGCTTGAGCTAGAGTTCGAGTGGATATTACCAGGTACATACTTTTGCCCCACCCAAAAAGATGGGATAAAGACTTGTTTTTGTCAAAAGACATTAATACCCACATCCTTGCCTTTGAAAATAGCCCTAAAAAGCTTGTCTAGTTCAGTCATGTCACGTGTAACAAACATTAAAAATAACCGCATAAAACTGTGTTTGTTACACGGGACATGATTAAACTGACGTATCTTGTAAAGATATGTGTCAGTAAAAGGTTGCTTTAATGTTGTGGACAGGGCATGGCAGGAGAGTTGCATACAAGGATGTTGAAGAGAAGAACTCGAGCCTAAAAGCTTTCTTGAGTGCTAAACAACATCCCCATGGGTTTTAGTTTGTGTGCAACTCACTTTGTAAGTTTAAAAAATATAGATTAAACCCATGTTATCAATGTATGTTGTGTTTAAAATAAATGAGCTTAAAAGAAATTTATATTTTATATTTTCTAATAAAATGTTTACAAAATTATAATATGTGTTTAAAAAAGATTGTTAAGTATAAAATAGTATATGTAAAGTAGTAAATAATTGTAAATATGTAATCATGTCTTTTTTAATCATTTTATATGTAAAAAGTTAAACCAAACACTTTTTAAAAACAACTTTTAACTTTTGCCACACAAAAGCTAATCCAAACACATTTTAAAAATTCCTTTTGTAAAAAGTCCTTTTACAAAAAGGACTTTTGAAGGTAAAAAGTAATCTCAAACACCCATTTAGTTTAAAAACAGAAAATATCAAGGGAACTTGAATATAGCATGTTGTGGTGTGTTGTGACACCCAATTTTCATAACATGATTTACTACATAATCATTTTGTTATTGCTTCATCATGCTTAATTTGTTGCCTGATGATAACATGTTGTGGTTGATATTGTAGTTTGACAGAACATACCCTAACTTTCCCAACTTAGTTTAAGGGTATCTTGATAGAGAAATTAAATATCCTCCTATCCACTCTTTCCATCAGGGATGAGTATTTGAACATGATCTATTGAGGCTTATCAGGTCTAAGTCAAGGTCCTGATTCTTGGACTTAAGAGTGGGCATTTTGACCGAACCGGCCCGGTTATTGGACCAAACCGGTTTTGAAAAAATTGATGGATCTTTGACCGAACCTGTTGAGGCTTACTAGGTCCAAATCCGATTCCCGGTCCAAAGATCCAAATACTCACCCCAAATACTCACCCCTACCTTTCATATACCCCATTTATAACAAATTGTTTTCAACAGCTAAAAGTAAGGCCCTGTTTGATATGCTGCTGACCGAGTCAGGTTAGACGTTTTTGGCTGACTCGGTCAGCTGAACCTATTTGATAAACTTTCTGAGCGGGAAATTGAAGTTTGACCTGGTAAGAAAGAAGGATTTGACTTACTGAGAAAGGAAGACGTCGTTTCCACTTGTGCCCTTGCGTGTGTATCCCTATACATGTACGTGTGTATCGTATCCCAGCAGGAAGAATCGATCCAACACCCCCTTTACGTCTCGTTCTTAATAGACACTCAAAATCGATCATCCAACACCCCATCAAGAATTGCACCCTATCCTTCTCTCTAGATCGATTGATGGATTGTCTCTCCACTTCGGTTCCAATTTAATTACAAGTATGTTTCCCCTTCTTATGTGCGTTTATATCTCCAGCAGTAGTAAGAAATCAGACCCTACCCCTTCTTCTAAATCGAATCTGTTTGTTATATGCTTATACTAACAGTTGATAAAATTGGATATAACTAGATATAATTGTTGATTAAATTAGATACAAATGTTGATTCACTCAATAAGTTTAATTGGTGTTGTCAAAATCTGATGGTGTTGCTACGTACATGTAAGACATTGGATGTATACACTTGGATTTGTTTGACCACAATACCTTTGTTACGATTATGCCCCTACAATTGATGTGCCCTGTGATATATCACAAAGTTTCTGGTAATTATCTTGATTTGGACAATTTTGCCCCTACACAAGTTTTATCTGGAAAAGCCTTTTGCTCCCCTGTTTAGTAGAGTTTGGTTATATTAGTTTGATTTGTCATGATGTCGAATCTGGTTTTTATTTGTCTATTTGTTTTTGTTGTTGTACTCCTTTGAGTGATTGCTCAATGAAATCAATCCGCCAAATAGAATATGTATATGTTTTGAATGCTTGAATCTGTTTGACTTTTGCTGAAATACATACC